TTTGTTTTGCTTTGGGGAGTGGCTGCACTAGAAACTGGGAGGGGAGGTAGGGCTGGGGAGAGAGAACAACAAGCTGGAATAGTAGCAGTGCGAAGATCTAGAAATATAACATGTTAGCCCCACCTAATCGTGGTGTCTAATGAACTAGTGGATTCCCAAGTACAGAAAACGAGACTCACAATTTAACCTGGTGCTGTGATGTGACGTGTGAATGGACTGCTGTGCCTATGCAGAACCCCATTGAGACGCCCAACTGCATGCTATATGTTGCCGGATCAGGGCCTAAGAAATGGTTTCCTTTTTCAGAACATGCAATAAAAAGATACGATCAAATAAATGAAAGCTCATATTTCTTGGCCATGGTTTAGAACAAATCCTCTTCCCCTCCTCCAGTATCCATTTGCAGTGCACATGAATCTAGAGTCTGTTTTTATTGTCATGAGATTTATTGCTATTGAGAATAGTTTGAAAATAATTTATATTTAGCATGATTTGTTCCATTTTTTTTGTTTCTTGGCTGTGAATGTTTTAGTACACTAAAAATTTACAGTGTCTGCTAGCCATCTCATATGCTAACCAAGCATAGGTTTTCACAAAATTATTTTTCTGTGGATTTTTCCTTTTGGCTCTGTTGGCCGGCATTCTGTTGACTGAGGTAGAATTTTTTTTCCTTCAGCATCATTGATATAAAGTATAGACTGCTAAATCATATGACAGAATGCAGCAACAAAAATTTAGTAATTGAACCAACTGCATCAAGATTCTTGTGGGTTGAGCTTTAATGGTTCATATCATAGTAAAGCAGTATTTTTCCTTTTTTGGACTCCCTGAAATTAAGTGTTTAGAATGTTGAATAGGTCAATTTAGATTTTTCTTTCCACAAGAAATTTTATACAATATAACATCGCTGATGTAGGAATTAGCATACATGTGATAAAAACACAATCGGTAGCTTAGGAATAGAAGTTTATGAATAGCTTTTATACATGCATTATCAATCACTTCTTTTGAGGAATTTTGTTCTTTGAACCAGATTATGCAAACATGCAAAGGAGTAACTTTGCTCATGTGAATTGCCTCCTTCCACTTTAGAGGAAACATCCATGTAGATATCTTCTTGTGTGGAGGATGGCAGATGGCCAGTGCAAAGTAACCTTAATGATGTAACTAAGGAACTCCAGAGAAAGGAATGGGGGGACATGAGAAGCTTTGTCTCCAGGTCAGTGTTGTTCTCCTCTTGTATCAGCTGTCTCATGTCACTCTCTCCCCTCCCCAAAGTTCCTTTTAGGTTACTTTTATCTATATTCTCTTCCTTAAAAAGGTATTTATGCAAATGTCTTTGAGAAATGAGAGAAACAAGGTGGGTGAGCGAATATGTTTTTATTGATCCAACTTCTGTTGGTGAGAGAGACGAGCTTTTGAGCCACACAGAACTCTTCGGGTTGGGAATCATTAGGAAAGGGATAGATAATAAGGCAGAAAATATCATATTGCCTCTATATAAATCCATGGTACACCCACATCTTGAATACTGCATGCAGAGCTGGTCACCCCAACTCTAAAAAGATATCTTGGAATTGGAAAAGGTACAGAAAAAGGCAACAAAAATGATTAGGCGTATGGAACAGCTTCCGTATGAGGAGAGATTAATAAGACTGGGATTTTTCATCTTGGAAAAGAGATGACTAAGAGGGGCTACGATCGAGACCTATAAAATCATGACTGGTGTGGAGAAAGTAAATAAGGAAGAGTTATTTACTCTTTCTCATAATACAAGAACTAGGGGTCACCAAATGAAGTTAAAACAAAAGGAAGTATTTTTTCACACCACACACAGTGAACCTGTGGAATTCTTTGCCAGAGGATGGTGTGAATGCCAAGACAATAATAGGGTTCAAAAAAGAATTAGGTAAGTTAATGGAGGATAGGTCCATTAATGGCTATTAGCCAGGATGGGCAGGGATACAAAACCATTCTTTGAAATGTCCCTAGCCTCTGTTTGCCAGAAGCTGGGAATGGGCAATGAGATGGTCCACTTTATGATGATCTGTTCTCTTTATTCCCTCTGAAGCACCTGGCTTTAGCCACTGTCAGAAGACAAGATTCTGGGCCAGATGGACCTTTGGTCTGATTCGGTCTGGCCGTTCTTATGCCCTGTGTGACTCTGGGCAAGTAATTCAGGGCCAGATTCTTAAAGGTATCTATTGATATCTAGATATGTTATATGAGGTATGTTGCAACACTTAAGTGACTTAGACAGCTAAGTTCCATTTTCAAAAGTGACTTAAGCACCTAGGAGCCTATATCCCATTGACTTGAATTAGACTTAGGTGCCTAAATACCCTTTGAGAATCTGGGTCTAAAAGCTTGTCTCTTTTCAGAATGGGACTTAGCCATCTAAGTCACTTAGGCCTCACAGTGCTGAGCAGAGCAACACCTTAATACCTTTGAAAATCTGGGCCTTATTCTCTCTCTGCATCAGACAGTTCCCCATGTGTGAAATACTAATTATTTTATTGAGCTCTACTAATGAAAAGTGCTGTATAAGAGTGAGTTATTTATTATTATTATTATTATTATTGTATTTATTTGTATTGTGATAGCACTTACGAGCCCCAGTCCTGGAACAGGACCCTATGGAGCTAGGCACTATACAAACACACAACGCAAAGACTGTCCCTGCCCCACAGTGCATACCGCACTTGCCAGAGGTATTGAGGGTAAACATATTCAAGATTGGGAGGGGCCCACCTACAGCTGCAATGGGGTCCATATAAATACCTTAGGTCAGGGATTCTCAAACTTCATTGCACCACAACCCTCTTCTGACAACAAAGTTACTACATGAGTGGCCGCAGCCTGAGCTCCGCCGCCCTGGGTGGGGGAAGAGGGAGCTGCGGCCTGGGGGTGGGCAGAGGGAGAGCTTGGGCTTCAGCCCTGGGTCTAATGCTGACCCTGGCGACCCCATTAAAATGGGGTCATGACCCACTTTGGAGAACTGCTGCCTTAGGTAGACAGAAAAGAGTGGGGAGGGCTGACATCAGAAGTATTTGTTACGCTATTTATGCTCCTGGTTCTTTGCTCAGTTTAACTTTTTGTTAATGCCAGCGAACTGGGGTTGGAATATATTTGTTGAGATGAATTTAGCCATTCAGGAAGAATGGGTGTGTTTTATGCTTGTACTTCTAGACCTAGTGAATGGAAGTGCTCCCTTGATGTATGTAATTTAAAATAGCACTTTCCTGTCTGTAACGCTGCATGTGGTCGTAGCAGTGAAATAAAGCATTTCTGTGGGTTTTTAAAGGAGTTCTGCAATATGCGTTTAAACCTTAAAAATTGAGCACCTTGATCTGATTTTTAGAAGAGTGAGACACTCCTATTATATATGGATTATGCAACACAACATTTCTAGGTGATGTTGTTTTTTCCCAAATTCAGTAGGCCAAATGCACTCTCTCTCTCTCTCTCTCTCTCTGCACAAAGACAAAGTAACAAGGTTTTATGTAGCAGAGATGGAATCCCTCCACCAGACTAGGGCATAGCTCCTCATGTGCAGGATGCTTTGTGACCTCTGCTTCCCCCATGCAGGAGTGTGAGAAGGAGCTGGGTAGTTACTTCTGCATTATTGCAGTTAGAGCCTCTATGGAGTACAGTTTTCACAGCCTGTTATCTCTCTCCCTGTGTGGGCTTTTCACAACCTTTCTTCCTCTTACCCCTCTTGAGCAGAATCAGGATGATTCCTCTGCACATTGACCCCATGTGCAGGTAGGATTTGGACCTAGCATTTTCAAAATTCATTTAAAAAGTGTGTAACAATGGGTGAGATCCAAGAAAGTGCCTGCCTCCTGAGAATTTTTTTTTTTAAGCCTGGTTATCTGTACTCACTTCTGCATGCCCAGTAAGTGTCTGAGGTTTAAAAAAAAATACAACAAATGATTGCATTTTCCAGATACCCAAAATAATTTAAATATGGCACATAAGACAGAGGAATTTGAAAGCCTGAGTGCAAAATCTGCCTGTGTGTTGCTGTTGTCTTTCGTGTTCCGTTAACATTCATATTGTAAAATCATTGGGAGAAAGGTCTAATATTTTTTGGTGTAGCTTTTGGTTATGTTATCCTTATCCTACTCCATTGCAGACACCTAGTTGTCCTTGCTGTGTGTGTATATGTATAGCGTTAATAATAGTACATCACTAGCTCCATGTTACTAAACTGAGTTGTTAAACCAGGTCTCCTCCTTCTACTACAAACATAAACACAGACATTACCAGTAAAACAGAAGCTGTTGAAATGATTTGGCTGCTAAAATGGGCTCCTGCCATCCGGATGCAGCAGCAGTTGTACCGTATTGTCTTTGCCGGCATCACCAACATACTAAAGAAAACATAATGTAAGAGCTTATCCTGGCATGGGATAGTCTGTCCTTTCTTTTCAGTTCTGCATTGCCACTCACAAGTCAATAAGACAATATAGAAAGTTTAAGTTGATTTTACAACCAACTGAGCAATGTGTTTTGGAGGGGTCTGGTAAAATATGAGGCTTCTGAACTTTCACATTATGAAAACCAGACAGACTCTATAAACAATGGCATGAGGAGCATTTATTTTTATTTCATTTTAAATGGGAACCATGTTGCTTGTACAGCTGATCCTCTAGTTTGTTACAAACTCAACACAAAGCTATTAATTGTGTTTATCTAATTCCATTGATATCAACACGTTACATGCTTTTCAGATAACTTGTAGAAAAGCATTTTTTTTTTAGCTTGCTTTTTTCTTTTAGGTATGTACATTATAGTGGCTAATTAAAAATTTTCTGTTAGCTTCCACAGAGTTGAATGGTGAAAAATTGACACCCTGCTGTATGTAGAGAGTCTAGGTGGAAGTGTGGTGAAAACAAACAGTAGAAGAGAATTTTGATTCCACATTTGGAAGTCATTCATGTGCTGAAAAGATACTGAGTCCTTTTTTGTTTTGTTTTGTTTCTTATGTTTCAACAGGGCAGAGTTTAGGGTATGGATTTGTTAACTATATTGATCCAAAGGATGCAGAGAAAGCCATTAACACTTTAAATGGACTCAGACTCCAGACCAAAACCATAAAGGTAAGAGAATACAAAGAGCCTTTTGCTAAATTTAGGAAGAGCAGTAAGTAGTTAAGACAGTTTTTGGAAATCTCATCAGTATTTTAATCTGACAATGTAAAGGGCACAGCTAACTAGCTGTTCCTTAAAACAAAGGATGTATGGCAGATGGAATCTTTTTTCTTTCAAACTGCTACTATTTTTATTTATTGGGGGGGGGAGAACCCTCGTCGAGTATTCTATAGCGTTGTAATGGGATTTGAAGTTAGGATAAAACAGCCATTGAGAGAACATTACCCATAGAACAAAGGTGAAATATACAGTTGTATCATTCATAAATGACCACAACACACGTGTTAATTACAATTAATTTGGCATGTGATTATCAAACATTCAGTTCATAAAAGGCATCCTCTAATCAAGATACACTTCTTCCCAGTTAGGTGCCATTTTCAAAGACCACAGTACTCTCTTTCAAGGGTTATTCTTCCAGTTTCACTGTTCTTTGTTTGATTCACTTTCCCCCAAAGGGACTAGAGATCAAGTAGAAGCCACCCAGTTTGTTATGCAAACATGCCATTAGTTTCTCCCTGGTTTCCTCAGTGGTCCAAGCAAATTTCTGCACTGTAGAATTTCTTACTGCATCTCTGATTTCAGACAAATAGCCTCTGGATCTGCTCAGTTAATCAATCAGTAGCAAAAGTGTTGAGCTTTAAGAGAACAAGAGACTAATCATTGAGATTATATATAAAATATTCTTTCCAAAATTCATCTTGCAGGAGCAAGACCGTCACACATGCATGTATTTATACCATGTACCAAAATCCTTGCAACAGGTTTTTATGCAGTTAAGGTTTGTATTTATTTAATTTATCCAAATGTGTAAAGTAAAGCAATAAAATAAACTATTCTTATCAACTGCGGCAGATTGAAATTTAATGCTGAGACTCAGCAATTTATTCATTCCACTTATAAAGTTGAGCTGCAGGTTACTCTCCACATTTATCTTAAAGGGACACTGACCAGATAAATATCATAGTTTTAAAAAACAGGTTCTTACCTGTTTTCTAAATGCCTTAGATTTAAAACTCAAATAAACATCTAGTTCACTTCCTACTTTTAATGCTGTGCATTTACTACTTGCATATTAGACACTTTGTCCAATCTGACTGAACTCTTTTTTTTTTAATTCCATTTCTATTTTTAATCGCTTTCACTTTCTGGTTCTCCTGAGGAAGAACTGTGCTGTTGTATTTGAGTTTCCTGTGCTGCTGGGGAATGTCAACTGCAAAAGAACATTTTAAATCTTTCTGTGTTTCATGAAACTACTTAAGTTATTATGCTTTTGTAACTTTTCTTAAATAGTTTAAATTCACAATTATTTTATTCATGTGTCCTTTAAAGGAGTTATAACTTCTGCAGTAAAAGTTTTGGTTTAGGGAGGAACTTGGTACACCGCACATTTCTGGAAGTGTTTTTTTAATATAAGTTTTTTTTAAATTGTATGGAAACAGTTTACTGGTTTTTGGTTTATTTCAGGGGTAGGCAACCTATGGCACGCGTGCCGAAGGCGGCACGCGAGCTGATTTTCAGTGGCACTCACACTACCCGGGTCCTGGCCACCGGTCCAGGGGACTCTGCATTTTAATTTAATTTTAAATGAAGCTTCTTAAACATTTTAAAAACCTTATTCACTTTACATACAACAATAGTTTCGTTATATATTATAGACTTATAGAAACAGACCTTCTAAAAACGTTAAAATGTATTACTGGCATGCGAAACCGTAAAATAGAGTGAATAAATGAAGACTCGGCACACCACTTCTGAAAGGTTGCTGACCCCTGGTTTATTTTATGCTTATAAACACGTTATTGATTACTTTGATTTCACAAGTGAAATTCTGTTGGAATTTTGAAGGCATTTAAAATTTAATAGTAAACAAGGAAACAAGTCTGTTTTATATGCATAGGAGTTGTATACGTTTTACAAGGATTAGTAGAACATACACAGTCTTCAAAATACACATTTTAAATAGGTATTAACAAAGTCACCCAAATTAATCTGAAGGAGCCTTACTTTTGAATCTCCAGGCTTTGTTGACTGTAACAACATCATATAAACAATAACACACAATAAGGTATGCATACTTTTTGGGCAGTTTGAATACAGCTTGGAATTGCATCTATTGCAAATAAAATGCACCCAAAAAGTGTTTGAAGTAGCAAAATGGCCTTTTATTAAACTTCCTGCCCCATCCCCACAAACCCTTTTAAAGCCACGGTAAACCTATCCTATTACTGTATTTATTAATTCTCTTAAAATAGGCCCTTTCTGCCAAGTGTAGCGCAGTTTGGAGGCTTTACAAAGTTGAAGTTGTTGAGGTGTGAAGAATATATTTTTAGTATCCTCTCCAACTCCCATGCCAGTTAAATATATTGGAGGAAACTACCTCTGAATTCCATCTTAGAGTCCAAATACTCTTGCAAAGCAGCAGCAAATCATATTCAATAAAGTTTTAGACCACTTTACTTTGTCCCTCCCATCGCACTCCCCATTTCACATTGTGCCACTGCTTAAGACAGGATCACTTTTGTTTGGTTTTATTATATTCATTCTTTTTATTTATGTATTGGATTAATGCACAAAAATATAAGCGCACCTACCTAATGCTGTCAGTGCCATTTGCAGATCTTTAATAATGCAATCGGTACTTAAAAATTACATTTTTAATACGCAGTTGTTTTGCAGACTGGAAAACGAATTTGATTCAATTAAATTGTAGCATAAAATTTAAAACAAAAGTATTGATTACTTTCTCGGATTACGTCATAGATTTGATTGTATTTTTTTAAGGCCAAGAGGGGGTCATTATCATGTAATCTGACCTATTTAGGGCCAGATTGAGCCTTTGGTCAGTGGCAATGTAAGGTGTGGTATGTAGCTGGATACGTCCCCGGGGAAGAAGCTTCCTTTATTATCTCTTCCTCTTTACTGAACACAGATTTTGTCCTTGTGCAGCCTCCTGTGCTCCTACACCCAGAACCAAGGTCTGGGGAGGCTGTCTGGGAATATGTGGCTGAATAATGTTTTCACCCATTCTCTTGCCCCTGCATAGCTGTGTAAGGCTGGGAAGCAATCTGACCCTGAACCGGGACACATTTTTAAAAGCAAAGGTAGAAGTCCATGTGCAAAAATATTGTGCACACAAGAAAAGTTCCAGATTCAGCCATCTGCACAGAATTCCAGGTGGACCTCAGGCTCTGGGATGGGGAATAGGGGTGTTGTTTTTCTTTTAATTTGTTTTTCAAATTTTTGGCTTTAAATCTTGTGTTTAATAAAGTACTAACAAATTGAAATTTAGTCCTTTAAAAAAAGAATTAAAATTAGTTCAGGTACTACACCTGTCTCTACATCCCAGTCTTCTCATGTTTATGGATTTACAGTAGAATTTTGTTTATTTTTAATGTTCTTCTCTCACTTATGAGAGACCCATGTAAACAAGAGAAGTTTTTGACTGCAGGGGAATCAACAAAACTGACTATGCACAATCTGCTGTCAAACGTACAGAATATATTAATTGAAGAATTCGATTTTTGTCTTTAATCTCTTGGTATTATAATAAATAATCCCTTTTATCAATAAGAGCTAAAATATTCATATTTAAGTGTTTTGTTCAATGTCCTTTATAATTAGAGCTGAGAGGAGATTGTTTAGCAGAATATCTATTCCGGGGGAAGAGTCCAGATAATGGATGTGCGTGTATATTCGTGTATTTAGGTGTAGATGATTATATGAGCGGTAATCATATTCCGCTAATCATATTGCATATTTCAACAAAGCTATTGTATATTATTGTCATCTTTTTGTGAGGGAGGGGACACTATTTATAGTTGCAGTGAAAACTTTTATGTAGTTCCACAAAACACTTTTGGGTGAATGAAGATATGTCTCATGTTTGAAACAAATCCATCTGCTGGAGCTGGTATCCATTTTAAAAAGATTAATTATGTCCATCCAAGAAAGTGCTATGGCAGCCTACTTGTAAAGGTCACTGCTAATGCTGAAGATTGGCTAGAAGTTGAATGAAATATCAGAAAGGAAGCAAGATGTACTCTGCATAACCTACAGATTGCTTAAACTCTGCTCCTGAGCACTGAATAAAATTTAAGAGGATGTGGAGGAAGTGTTTCATAATGTTCTCAAATGATTCAGAAGATCTGAGCATTATGTTTAAGGGCGTTAGAACAAGGAGGGGATATAGAACTTTGAAGGGAGGTTTGAAATCAAAAGAATAGTATTGTCTGCCGAAAGCACAGTCCTATTCACTTTCCCTTGCCCTACCTTGAGAGAAATAGATTTCCTCCCTCCCTGGCAGAAGTAAGCAGTGTGCTATCTCATGAGAACAAACAGAAGAGGTACAGGGGGAGGTCCTGACAAATAGCATCTTATCAGGCAAAATTTGGGCTAGCATAAAGAACCAACCTGGCTTAAATTCCTGATTCCTGCTAGTATAATCCAGTGTTTTAAACTTCTGTGCTTAGAGACAGATTCAACACCCAAGACCATTCAGTGTGATCAAAGGCTTTCTGTGCATCTCAAGTTACTACAATGTCACGCTTTTTGAAAATGAAGTTAATAGTGCAATATATAAGTGCTGATATTTAATACTTTCTAGTGTTAGTTAGAAATGTTTGCTGTTGCTAAACTCTGTTTTGTGTAGGTCCCCGGGACTGGGGGTGTTGGTGATGATGATAATTTAAAACACATCGGATAAAATGTTGGCTAAGACCAGAAAGATTGATTAGCTACTTTACTGTTGTGTTTCTCTACAGCAGAATGTGGCAGCATTACTTTAAAATGTTAATGTATTTGTTTTAGTTTTTTTCACCATGCCAGATTTTAAAATCATTTGCACACTCAGACCTGCCTGTACCTTACTGCAAGGCAAGCAAATAATAGTCCCCAGTCCCCCTCACACCCAGTCATGCTGAAAAGAAAAAATTGGCTGTGAAGCATGC